CTCCTACGTGAGGTGTGCGACCTCTTGGGTACGGAGAAGGTTCGGACCTCTCCGTATCACCCACAAACTGACGGGATGGTGGAACGGCTGCATCGGACCATCACGTCCATGCTGTCCCAGCAGGTGTCGGTATCCCAGACGGATTGGGACCTCCGCATAGCCGGTGTGTTGCAGGCCTACAGAATGGCTCCCCATGCGGCCACCGGATTTTCCCCTTTCTTTTTAATGTATGGGCGCGAAGTTAACCCCCCTGTGGCGACCCAGCTGAAGCTCTCGGCGCTCCAGGCGAAGTCTAATTTGTCCGAACACGTTAAATTTAACATCGCTCAATTGTCTGAGGCGCGGGAAGCGGCCGTGCAAAATTCTGAACTCCGCCAGAAGGCGAACGAGAGGCTTCGGTTGGGGCGGGTGCAGGTGGTCAAATGGGAACCAGGGGACAGGGCGTGGTTGCACTGTCCTCAGGTGCCGCTGGCAACCTCGTCGAAATTGGTACGGCCGTGGCGGGGGCCAGTGGAGGTCGTGCAGGTTTTGCGGCCGCAATGTGTTCGCGTCAAATGGGGGAGGCGCCGGTGGTATGTGCACCCCTCAAGGTTAAAACCATTCGTCACGCCGCCCCGGGGTTCACACACACACACGCATGGCCAAACGTGTGAGGGTGTCGCCGACTCCCCGTCGTCGCTGCACTCGCCTAACCTGACGCCAACTGTTCCGTCCCCAGGTGAAACAGGAGTGACGGGCCCACGCCCACCAACCCCTCCCGGAGGGGTCGGGGGTCACTCGGCAGCGAAGCCTGACCCTCTTGCACCCGGACCGTCAACAACCGTCACTGAGCGTGCCGGGACGGGCCCTTGTGACGGACCCGCCGCGAGAACGCGCGCCAAAACACGCAGACTTTTGTGAGGTCGGCCGTTGGGGGGCCTTGCGGACAAAAGGGGAGGGGTGTTGTGAGGTCGGCCGTTGGGGGGCCTTGCGGACAATGGGAAAGGTGGCGTCCGGAGTGTATATATATGTTGGTTTTGGGGTGTTATCCGGGGAGGGTGCGTCGGGTTATTTTTTTTTCTCTCTCTCTCTCTTCCTCTCGTTGTTCTTGTTGAAGTTTTCTTGTTCTTGTTAAAAATTACGCGAGGCACACACACGGGGTTTTTGTGAGGGATGCACCTTTATTCGAATTTTTTTTGCAGCCGGGGACGGCTGCGAGCTGTACAGGGGGGGGGGTGATGTAGAGGTGTAATTGCGCATGTCTACGAATGTTGAGGTGTGATTATGCATGGCCACGGATGGCCAACAAACACAAGGGGCGGGGTTACGGCCGTACACAAGGGTGGCGCTCGCACCGACGTCCGCATGTGTATCCCCCACGGGCCCCCCCTTGGGGGCAAGTCCTATAAAAGGTGATGAGCCGAAAGGCTCGGGAGTCGGGACTCAGCTTTAACCAGAGAAGAACGAAGACCTGCTAGTATAGGCCCCGGAGCTCCCCTGGCTCGCTGTCCTTCTAAGGGCCGACCAGGGCAAGTCGGTGGCGTGGCCCCGAGAGCCCAGACGAAGCTGGTCTGGTGACTCAGGGAGCCGGGATCCCAGCTTAACCAAGCTGGGACAGATAGCCTCCCCTAGTCCCGTAGTGGAGGAGTTGGTATAGGTTAGAGGGGTTAGCTGTCGAGAAATCCCTGTAGCCAAGTGACCTGTAATAACTGTGTTGGTGTAATAAATAAGTGTGCCTCCGATCCTGTCGTCAAGCCTCCATATATACTTACTACACAAGGATGAGAACTTAAAATACGCGAATTGCTTCCAACATGTATTTATAAAAATGCTTTAATTCAAATGGAGCAATCAAACGTAGAACAATTGTTAAGTTAAATAAATAAAGTTATTATTATTATTAAGAATAAAACAATTCCAATAAGTAATAGGACTTTTTCAAATCGCAACAACAATAATCGCAGCCTTTGCGATTGGCCAATCGATTTCTATTTGAAATCGATTCATCGTTCAGTCCTATTGTGGGGAGGGGAGATCTTTGTCTTTGACGGTGGCAAATCCGATGCAACGCCAACGCTCCGATACAGTCTATAATACGCACTCTCTCTATATATATAAAGATCCCCCGTACAGCCTTAACAGACTGTAGGGGCAAGTGCTGTTAGCGAGCACCTATGAAGGCCGGCACGGCACACGAGGGGGTGGGGTGGCCAACACCACGCCCGGCCGCCTTTGTCTCCCTAGTGGCAATGTTTACACATCGCACCATGTACTAATTTGAAGCTGAGTCGCCCTAGGGGAGGCCCGGGACCGGTTCAAATAATCGTCACCGGTGTTGTCCGTGAGCGGGAATCGAACCCGGTTCGCCGGGTTCATAGCGCAGCGCGCTAACCGCTGCACCACCGCTCCCCTCTATACACACACATACACACACTGCGCGCATCACATCGCAAGCAAGTAGCTAAATATACTTAGAATCCGCTTGCACACAAAACCGCAATCCCACGCCCACCAAGGCATTGGGAGCCCAGCGGCATTTTTTTCCTTCGCAACCAACCCCAAACCCAAATGAACCAACACTCCGTCGGACTTTTAAATGAATTGCATGCGTGCGCGCTCTGTGCATTTGGAACGCATCTTTCTTTCGCCCCGTCATCCGATGCCACCGAAGCATTCACCGTTACCGTTTGCTCGAGACTCAGCATTGAAGCCAGCGGTGGATTGAACAGGACGACGTAGTTTGGAGCAGAGGTCGCAACCAGGTACCCGATACCCGTACCCTACCCGATACCCGGCTACCCGTACCCGGCCCGGGTACGGATATCCGTTTGCGACCCTGGTGCGGCCCGGTACGGGTACGGGTAGGCCGTGAGTCACTGGTGAGTAACTGTTTGTCACTAATTTCCCAACGTCTTGTCTCTTCTCACAATTCAAGTTCATGAATCAACCCACCCGCGCCTGCAACTTGGCTTCATCCCAGAGGTCGCAATCAGGTACCCGATACCCGTACCCTACCCGATACCCGGCCGGGTACGGGTATGGCCGGGTACGGGTAAGGAATCAAAACCCGTTTGCGACCTCTGGTTTGGAGCGAGCCATGCCCCCCGGAGCTCACTCTTCGCCTGTCACAGATTCTTGATGTATGGGCGTTTCAAAAAAAGAAAAAAATGTGAACCACAAGAAATGCGCGGTGCCTCCTGGGGGCTCTGGGAGAACACCTGGAAAAGATTCCAGGTACGCGTTGACGATGATCACGTGGGAGAGAGAGACTCTTTGAAGCTATTAACATTGGCTACAATGTATTCATTATTATCCGTTATATGCTTGGTTCTTTCGGTAAAGTATTATCCGTTCTTATTAAAAACGATAATCGGGTACAAGTGTTAAAGCATGATTTTGTTTGCATTCTGACCACAAGTATTGCGGTTAAAGGCAGACATGATAATTCCTTGTCAAAGGCTTCAGTTTGGCGTTTTAACATCTTAACACAGCTGTTTTGTTGCCAGAAAAAAGGGGAAAACCCCTATCATCATGTAAGTGTTAACTTGTTTTTTAAATCACCCTGTAAAGGTCTGCGGTCGAGATTGTGTTTCTGCGTGGATGGGTCTCTAAATCTATGGGACTCTGTGAGTGCGCGGGTCTCTTTTCACGCAGTTATTGGCTATGCGCGTCAAGTCTGTGTGTCTGCCGTGTGATGCATGGGTCTCGTTCTGTGCAAGTCTGTGCGGTTCTTTATAGGGCGAGATGTTGACTACCTCGCCTGGTATACAGGAGGTCGTGGGTTCGATCCTGACCCTGACGCCTGCTGCTGTATATTTGGAGTTTGCGTGTCTCTCTCTCTCATCATCATCACGGTGGCTAGGTGATGTTAACTACCTCGCTTGGTATACAGAAAGTAGTGGGTTCGATCCCGACACTGACGCCTGCTGCTGTATATTTGGAGTTTGCGTGTCTCTCTCTCTCATCATCATCATCACGGTGGCTATGAGATGTTAACTACCTCGCCTGGTGTACAGGAGGTCGTGGGTTCGATCTCGACCCTAACGCCTGCTGCTGTATATTTGGAGTTTGCGTGTCTCTCTCTCTGTCATCATCATCACGGTGGCTAGGAGATGTTAACTACCTCGTCTTGTGTACAGGAGGTCGTGGGTTCGATCTCGACCCTGACGACAGCTTTCTTTTGAGCCTCGTCTCAAACGGTGTTAGACCAGAGGCCGCCAAAAGGTTCAAAAGAAAGCTGTCTCTGGTGTGGACCAATCAGTTTTAAGGACAATGCAAATATTATCAGAGTGTGTTTTTGTTTACGTTCTGACCACAAGCATTGTGTTTAATGCAGACATGATTCCTTGTAAAAGGTTTCAGTTTGGCGTCTTAACATCTTAACACAACTGTTTTGTTGCCAGAAAAAAAGGGGGGAAATCTATTCTCAAAAAATATCTAGTTTTTAGTTTGAATGTTTATACTAGTGCAAGTATACGGATCTGTAGAACTGTGTTTTTTTTTCACTCAAAAAAAAAACATGCCCACTTTTCCTCTTGTACAACGTCCAAAGAAGCTATCGCAATTCACACTGTATACGCAATCCGATAAACGCACGTCGGATTACAGTACATTCATCATTTATCGATTGGTAAACACGACAATAAAAAAAAGAATTTTTTTTATTTCACCCCTAGGTAGGATTCGAACCTCCAACCTCCGCATTCGCGGGCGCGCGCCCTCACCACTCGGCCACGGAGCTCGCGCCAGACCCCCCTCACTACTCCCCCCCCTAGAAATCCGATGAACTATAAAGCTCTTTTCACCAGACGTAAAAACGTTACAACGGATACAAAAACAGGACAGGGGGTGCAAAGTATCTAGATAAACAAATAAAAAATTAAAAAACGTGTAAATATACACACACACAAAAAACAAAACTATATATAAAAAAAAATCTTACCAGCTCAAGCCGACTGCAACTATTCAATTATTTTTGTGCGAAGGGCCCCCCACCACCCCCCCCAAACTCCCGTTCTCACCAGAGTCGGCTCCAGGCTTGAGGCTGAGCGGATTTTCCAGCAGGGACTTGAGAACGCTGTTCATGCCCACGAAGTTGGGGCCGGGTTGCTTGGAGGGCGGAGGAGGAGGAGAAGGAGACGACATCTTTCGCGTTGTGGCTCGCGAATGGTGGTTGTTGTTGTTGTTGTTTACAGTCGAAACGCTTTAATGTATTATTCAAAAAGCCGGCTGTCACTCAACGTGAATTGATAATTGTGTTGTTGTTGTTTTGATATATTAATAGCGATGCCAAATGCGTGCGTTGCGTATGTGACTGTGTATATATATTTTTTGTTGTTGTTGTTGTTGGGTTCGTATTAAAAATAATGAAATTCGCTTTAACAAAAACACAGAGGACAAAAATCGCTCAGCGGCCGAACGATGCGCGCCACTTCACGGCAAGACTTCTTCCTGTGTGCGAGCGTCGCGTGAGGCGGAACCTTTTATACGCGGCGCGCGCTGAGGGGCGTGGCCTGTCGTGGGTGGGCGTGGCCTATGCAAATGAGTGGGCGGGGCTTAGCAGCAGTGCTGTGAGGAAGGGGGAGGGGCTGTCGTATGTGGGCGGGGACTATGCAAATGAGTGGGCGGGGCTTAGCAGTAGTACTGTAGGGAGGGGGGGCTGTCGTATGTGGGCGGGAACTATGCAAATGAGTGGGCGGGGCTTAGCAACAGTACTGTAGGGAAGGGGGAGGGGCTGTCGTGTGTGGGCGTGAACTATGCAAATGAGTGGGCGGGGCTTAGCAGCAGTGCTGTGAGGAAGGGGGAGGGGCTGTCGTATGTGGGCGGGGACTATGCAAATGAGTGGGCGGGGCTTAGCAGCAGTACTGTTGGGAAGGGGGAGGGGCTGTCGTCGGTGGGCGTGGCTTGCAATCAGTGGAGCGGGTGTTGACAGTTGGCAGTTGGCGGGAATTATTGTTTGTGGGCGGAGTTTGTCATCAGTAGGCGGAGCTTGTTAGCAGTGGGCGGGGCTTACCAAGGGGCGGGGCTCACCAAGGGGGGGGGGCAGGGGGGGAGTGCTCACCAAGGGGCGGGGCTCACCAAGGGGGGGGGGCAGGGGGGAGTGCTCACCAAGGGGCGGGGCTTACCAAGGGGGGGGGCAGGGGGGAGTGCTCACCAAGGGGCGGGGCTCACCAAGGGGGGGGGGGGGCAGGGGGGAGTGCTCACCAAGGGGCGGGGCTTACCAAGGGGGGGGGCAGGGGGGAGTGCTCACCAAGGGGCGGGGCTCACCAAGAGGGGGGGCAGGGGGGAGTGCTCACCAAGGGGCGGGGCTCACCAAGGGGGGGGGGGGCAGGGGGGAGTGCTCACCAAGGGGCGGGGCTTACCAAGGGGGGGGGCAGGGGGGAGTGCTCACCAAGGGGCGGGGCTCACCAAGGGGGGGGGGCAGGGGGGAGTGCTCACCAAGGGGCGGGGCTTACCAAGGGGGGGGGGCAGGGGGGAGTGCTCCGTGACTTTATCGAAAGAACCAAGATGAATCCCTGCAGTCACGAAAGCTTTAAAATTATTTTATGTTTTATTTTTATTAATTTATTATTTCCCTTCTACGTGACTTTACCGAAAGAACCAAGAAGATCAATCCCTGCAGTCACGAAAGCTTTAAATCGAAGGTTATCGATCATCTTTGCTAACTTGCTACTGACTTACAGCGTCAGCAGCGGTGCACGTGACACAATCAATACAATGACACGTTCAACGTGTTCGTCAATACTGCTACTAATGCTGCTGCTGTGGTTTTAATAAGAACCCAAAAAATATATATAATAGGGGACGTTCTAAGGGGCCGTCCATAAATGACGTCACGCACCTGGGGGGGAGGGGTCAGGGGGGTTGAGAAATGTGACGTCACGTCAAAATGCGCAACTTTAAATGAATAAAGACAACACGTTCTACTTAATAAAATAGACTTTTTAATAAATGTTTTCTCCTACAACATCAGAGTGCAGCGCCACATTAAATGCGCACTACAATGACAAGAGTTTAAAGCGATTTGAAGCGTGTTTTATTTTTTTTTGGGGGGGGGGGGCAGAGCTTTGTGACGTCATATTTGAGGAGGGGGGGTCTGACTTTTTGTGACGCCGTGTGACGATAGGGGGAGGGGGGGGGTTAAAAATCGTAAAAAATCGCGGGGTGGGCTGGTCACCCCGTGGTGCCCTTATAAAACTCAACGTTCAACCTACTCACGCCGGCTTGTGCCCGCCCTCACAGTCGGGCATATTTGCGGAATACACCACGCCGCCGTTGACCCTGCAGGCCATTGACCGAGCAACCCGACGTTCCTACCAGCTCCCTCCGCAGGAATGTGTAACTTCATTTGTATTTCTTAATTTTTAGTGAGGGGCCGTCCATAAATGACGTCACGCGATTTTTGACCCCCCCCCCACCTCGTCACAAAGCGTCACAAAAAGTCAGACCCCCCCCCCTCTCAAATATGACGTCACAAAGCTATGCCCCCCCCCCCTCCCCAAAAACATATTTCTATTTTGAAAATAAAACATGCTTCAAATCGCTTTAAACTATTGTCATTGTAGTGCGTGTTTAATGTGGCGCTGCACTCTGATGTTGTAGGAGTGTTGTTAAAGCAATAAGTGTTGTTGTTCTAACAATTCTATATTTATTTAAAGTTGCGCATTTTGATGTGACGTCACATTTCTAAAACGCCCCCCCCTCGTCACAAATGTCTGACCCCCCCCCCCCCCCCCCAGGTGCTTCTAATCTAGCACCCACCAGAAAGGGCATCTCGTACCCACCAGGGGGATGCTGCTGCTGCATCATTCCACGTCAAGACGAACCACTGATCCGACAAGTTCTAGATTTGAAGATTTCGTGACTGCAAGGATTCATACTCTTAGGTTTTTTCGGTAAAGTCACGTAGGTAAAAAAGTTAATAAAAGTAATAATGGAAATAAAATAAAATAAAAAAAATCACAAGATTCATACACGGCACGTGACTTTACCGAAAAAACATAAGAGTATGAATCATTGCAGTCACGAAAGCTTCAAATCTAGAACTTGTGGGATCAGTGGTTCGTTTTGACGTGGAATGATGCATCATCCCACGTCAAGACGAACCACTGATCCCACAAGCTTCACTAAAGGTGGTCTCAGGTCCCACTCAGTCTGCGTGGAGCGAGAGATTCTCTTGCAGATGTGGAACTGTTCGCCTGGATCGAGAGCCCACCCTCTGCCCCTCCGTGAGATATTCTCAGTATGTCTCTCTGTGTCTGTCTCGTCTGCGTGTCTTCATCAGTCTGTGTCTCTGTCTCATCTGCGTGTCTCCGTGTCTCCCAGCCTGTGTCTCTGTCTCTCTGTCTCGTCTGCGTGTCTCCATCAGTCTGTCTCTCTGCGTCTGTCTCGTCTGCGTGTCTCCGTGTCTCCCAGTCTGTCTCTCTCTCTCGTCTGCGTGTCTCCGTGTCTCCATCAGCCCTGTCTCCCTGTCTCTCTGCGTGACTTTACCGAAAAAAACAAGAGTATGAATCCTTGCAGTCACGAAAACTTCAAATCTAGAATGGGCGGAGAGATCAATGAGCGACGTTGACGGAAACACGGCAACAGCGGAAGTAGCGACAGAATATCCGTAAGGGAGGGGGGGGGGCTGACCCAACTTGGTGAGCGAGCGAGGGCCGGGAGGGAATCGTCGCGTTCCGTATCATCAATCGGACAAGAGCAGAGGCAGACGCACTTCCACTGTTACCTTCAACCGTTTTATTGCCCGTCAACCATCCGCACAGAGCACATCCTGCGGCCCGACACTTGAGCATCGGAAAAAAAATGGCTACGTAGAGCTCAGTGGGGCATTTCTTGGTAAAATAAAATCTTGTTTATTAAATCCTTTATATTAAGTTCGCTTGCTTGCTTGCGCGCTTACGACCGTGCAAATCTTTCGGTCGTTTTTTAACCCACTTCCCGTGATCCAATCGAGCTGATATTTTGCACACAGACTCGTTGTGCGTGACAATTAATTTTCGTGAAAAAAAATTCATAACTTTACACTTTTTAGGAAAAAAAAATTATATTTAATTACCAATTGCTTAATGGTGGCAGGCAATCATCTGACCCATAGGTGGCAGCCATCTCAAGCCAGAGGACGAGAGGACTCTAGCCGCCACGCATATAAAGGATTTATAGTGAAAAACTTTGTTTTTACGGGTTAATTTTTTTCTAGTCTTGATTGGAGGGGGCTGCCACACCGACAAAGGTTGCGAGTCGTTGCCTCCGCAAGTCGAAGGATTCCCCTCCTCCCGAGCCGGTCTCGCCGATTATTTCAGCGAATTATTCCGTGCTGCTGCTGCTGCTGCTGCTACTGGGAGCGTTTGGCTAACGGTCACGTGGTTTTACCTGTAGGAAGAAGCCGCGGAACACGGCGTAACAGGAACACAACCTCCACTCACAGAGAGCGACCACCAGCGTCGGGAATCGAACCCAGGCCTTCTCTCACCATGTGGCACGAGCCTCGCTCACCACTGGGCCGCGCCGATAGCCGTTCGGGCCAGGGCAGAGGTCGCAACCGGGTTCCCGATACCCAATACCCGGCTACCCGTATCCAGCCAGGTACGGGTACCCATTTGCGACCCTGGTGCGGCCGGGTACAGGTAGGTCGTGAGTCACTGCTGAGTAACCGTTTGTCACTCATTTCCCAACGTCTTGTCTCTTCTCACAATTCAAGTTCCTAGAATCAACCCACCCGCGCCTGCAACATGGCTTCATCCCAGAGGTCGCAATCGGGTACCCGATACCCGTACCCTACCCGTACCCAGCCGGGTACGGGTAGGGTACGGGTACGGCTACCCGTTTGCGACCCTGGTGCGGCCGGGTACGGGTAAGGAATCAAAACCCGTTTGCGACCTCTGGGCCAGGGGGTCGGCAAACCCGCGGCTCTCTGAGGGCCACTTAGCGACGTTGTTTACTTAAGGGGCAGCCCGTCTTGTGTTCGCATTGCATTGTGGGGCGGCTCTTGAAATATCGTGCTTTTTGGCGAATTCGAAAAAATATAAATGGCTCTCGTTGTTGTTGCCGTCCCCCTGGTGCAGGCCCATCTGACCTCTCTGACTGGCCGGGCGTGACATTCGCGACAACTTTGGAGGGAAGGAAGGACGCATCTAGGCCACATCTCGCAACTTCTGGAGCTTTTTTCTGAAGCTGGCAACACCCCGGCCTGGGGTCAACCGTCCGGCTGCAACGTCACCCGCTCCCGTTCCGATGACGTACAGTGCACGCGCGCGCGCATCATCAAAACGCAAAGGCGGAGGGGGGTGGGAAAAAACAAAATGAAGCAAACTTTGTCGGTACCGAGGGGGCGCGTGTGGCCACCGGTTTCGGCGGCGGCTACCGCCGAGCGTGGCGGTCGCGACGCCACGGTTAACCGCGACGAGCGCGACGACTTCAAAAAGAAACAAAAAAACCACAACGGC